ACATATGTAATGCCGTAATCAATAAAGGAAAAAAAAAAGAATGCATACAGAACCTAAAAAAAAAACCCCACCACCTATATAACATATAAGGCAGAATTGAATAAATACTAGACAGGGATATAAACTCTTCAGTAGGAACACAGAGGAAGAACTGATCCATTACATGGGAAATAAGTAATTTCATAATTATGTTAATATTTGAACAATTCTGAGGCCCACATTCTGTTCTTCTCTATTACAGTTCTTGTTTATATTACTTGTTTCTCTATTCTCACAGTCATTTTGCTAAATTAACCTTTTATTACCTTTCAATAATACTATTGAGCCCTGTTAAGTGGTCTCATCTACCTTTTTAGCCTTTAAGAAACTGTCCACTGCACTCCTAGTGCTACAACACTAATTTAAGCCCCCAGAATCTCCCCACTGAGTTACTACAATAATCTTTTTAGCTATTTCCCTGCTTCTAGTCTTATTCCTCCCTCCAATCCATTCTCTACATAGGCATGGATGTTACGTCAATCTTCAGCTAAAATCCTTCAAGGCCTTTTCTTTGTCTACTTTAGGATAAAACCAAACTCCTTAGAATGAGACATAAAGGCTTTCATAATAAGATGCTGCCTACTGTACTGGCTTAAGTAGTATCCCCTCTGAATTTACATCCACCAGAACCTTACTTGGAAATAGAATCTCTGTAGATGTAAATGAGTTAAGGTCATACTGGATTAGGGTGGACCCGAAATCTAATGACTGGTGTCCTTATAAAAGGGGAGAACACATAAAGACAAAGACACACAGGAGGCAAGCTCTTCCTCCAGGGAGCATACCCTCAACTTCTCTCTGCCCCTCCCCTTCTCCTTCCCCCAACAGGTAATTTCCTAAACTCTAAGGGACCCCACCCCAACCAAGTAGCAATGGGCAGTGGCAGTTTGTCCAGGGCTAACCCCGAGGCCCCTTTTTCTCTGACTTCCTAGTAAGCCAAAGCAGACCAGACTAGGCTCATTTCCCCAGCCCTTTCTTGTTTCACTGTCCCCGGCTTTAATATATATATTTTTAAAAAGATACACAGGAAAGAAGGCCATTTGCAGAGAGATGCAGAGACTAGAATAACAAGCTACAAACCAAGGGCTGCCTTACAAGCACCAGAGGCTGAAAGAGGGAAGAAAGCATTCTCCAGGAGAGCCTTTAGAGCAGTGGTTCTCAACCTTCTGGCCCTTTAAATACAGTTCCTCATGTTGTGACCCAAGCATAAAATTATTTTCATTGCTACTTCATAACTGTAATGTTGCTACTGTTATGAATCGTAATGTAAATATTTGATATGCAGGATGGTCTTAGGCGACCCCTGTGAAAGGGTCATTCGGCTGCCAAAGGGGTCGCGACCTACAGGTTGAGAACCGCTGCTTTAGAGGGAGTACGGCACTGCTAACATCTTAATTTCAATGTTGAGAACTGAGAAAGAATAGATTTCTGTTGTCGTAAGCCAACCAGTTGTGTTACTTTGTCATGGCTGCCTTAGGAAACTAATACACCTACTAGTCCATTTTAACTTCAAACAATACTTAATTACTTGTGGTTCTCCAAAGCTCTCAAACTGCTGAGCCTCTGTACATGTTGTATCTTCTACCTGGAATTCCCTTTCCAGATCTGTCTGCTTGAAAATTCCTATTCATCCCTTACATCTCCTCTTAAACACTATTTCTTTTGTGACTCCTTGAGTGGGCTTATGAACTCTCTCCTAAAGACCTATTGTACCTATAACATGTGGCTATCATATCAATTACCTTAATTAAAGGTAATTATTTGTATTCAAACACATCTTTCCACTAAATTTGAAATCCTTAAGGACTGGAATTAGGCCTTTATCTTTTAATTTCCCAGCACCTAGCAAAAAAACCTAGCACATATACAGTGCTGATGAACAAATATTTCCAGTTAAGCTGTCTGCAGCACTGCTTTGAATGCAATTCTCTGTTTAAGAACCTTCTATGGCTCACATTAATTTACAAAATAAAAATGTGAAAACTTCCTAGCTAAACATTTAAGCTCTGGTTTTACCTACCTAACCCTAGTCTATTTCTCACATAATAATGCTTTTTAGGAGTACTATCTAGGTTGCTTAAATTCAGTATTCCATATATATATCTCCCATGCTATTGTGTACCCATGCCTTCTGACAGTTCATTCTGCCTGGAATGCTTTTTCCCCATCATCCCCAAACATCCATTTTCTTGGATATTTACTTGTAATGAATGGCAGCTTCCCTATAAAAAGCCTCTTTTAATCCCCTCAACTGGAAGTAGTCTTTCCCTCCTCTGGATTTCCACTGTACTTTATTTATATCTCCATTAGTCTTAAAGATGCATATATAATCTTTTCCCCTATTTGTCTCTGAGTTCTTTAACGCTTTGAGGTCCAATTTTATTTTTGGAATTCAAACAGTCTGGTCAAAATTAATTGTTAAACTGGACCAGAGGGCCGGAACAAAAGCATGGATGGAGTGTTTGTGTGAACTAATATAAATTCAAAGTAAACATCATTACATAAAAGGGTA